GCACACGGGGCACAGCAGAGCCCCCTCCCAGTGTCTCCATCCCCTAACCCTGAGCAGTGCCCACTCCAGACCGTGGGTGCTGTGCCCCGTGTGCTCTGTCCCAGCAGGAGTAGCGGCCGTACCGTGTTGGTGCCGATGAGATCTGCAGTCATAGACAGGGAGGTGACCAGGATGGTGGCTGAGCCTGCCCCGAGCAGCACCGCCAGCCCGTAGATCTCATCTCCTACTGGCCTGGCCAGGGCCACCCAGGAGGCAAAGGCCAGGACCACCAGGATGCCCACAAAGTAAGTCAGCTGTGATGGGGACAGGCAGAGGGAGGAGTTCAGGCATCAGCTGGCACTTGGTGAGGAAGGAGCAAGCAGGGAGGGCACAAGGCCAGCACTGCCCAGGACCCATGAGGGACAGTCCTGGCTCTGTGCCAGCTGTATTTAAACAAGGAGACCCCAAAAGCAGGTCCTTGCATGCTCCAGGCTGTCCTGCAGCCCAATGGTTGAGCCCAGGCAGAGTTGTGGGAGCGTGGCTGTGAGGGTAAGGGACACTCCACTGCCACCCAACAGCATGGAGGGGACACACTGGGGAAGCAGGTCCTTCCTGCTGGCATTGCAGACCATGTGCCCACCCTGGCCAGTGTAACCAGACCCCCCCTTTGCCCCTGCTGGGCACCACAGCGCTCTGCAGCCCAGTCAGGCCTGCATGGACATTGCCTTCCCCAGCCCAAGGGATGTACAAGACATCCTGCCACCATCCATGCCCACCACCCCCAGTCCCAGCAGGACACAGATCCCCATCCCTGCCCACCACTCCCAGCAGGACACAGATCCCCATCCCTGCCCACCACTCCCAGCAGGACCCATGCTGCAGTGGGTCATTGCTGGCAGAGGTCCATGAGGGGTCCCTGCTCTCCAGTTCAGGTGTGCCGGGAGCTTTGCTCACAGCCAGGATTTGGCTCCTGGTCTTCTCCTGGGGTCAAACTCCAAATCTCCAGCACCCTGGACTCACATTCCGACCAATCCATTTGTTCACAGGCTTCATGAGGAACGAGGAGAGGAACCCACTGACGTACATCACCAGGGGAATGGTGGCAATGTACTTCTGCAAGGGACAAGGACAAGGAGATAAGCCCCAGGCCATGTCAAGACACCTTCCCACGTGGCCCTGGACCTGCCCTGCACCCACCTTGGAGAGCAGCAGCGAGTTGGTGAGGTACATGGCGATGTAGGTCTGGGACAGGTTGACGATGAGGCGGGTGGCCATGTAGAGCACTGCAACCTGGGAGGGCACAGGGCCAGGGCATCACAGCTCAGCCTGTGGGAAGGACCTGCCCTGCCCAGCTGTCATGACCCAGAGGGAAGGGGATGGATGGGTGCCCAGAACAGCTCCCCTCTCCATCCCCACCCCTACCCTGGGCAAGCCCCATGGCAGCAGCCCAGGCCAGGGGAGTCGTGCCCAGCCATACCTGGTAGAAGGAGGGCTCCAGCAGCCAGCCCAGGCCAGGGGAGTCGTGCCCAGCCATACCTGGTAGAAGGAGGGCTCCAGCAGCCAGTCCTTCCAGAGCAGCAGCGGGCGNGCTCTGGGTCCCGCAGCCCCCACCCCCATCCCGGAGCCATCAGCGCTGCGGTTGGTTTTTTTCTCTCCTTTTTCTCCTCCTTTATAAAGTGCCGTTTGTACGTATTGACCTTACAAAAGCAGGTTAAAACCTCGGGCCTCCCCCGAGCGCTCCCCTCTTCTGGGGCCGCCCCGGCCTGGCCTAGGCCCTTCTAGTGTTCATTGTGCAGGTGAGAGGTGCCAGGTGACCCTGCACCGGTCACACCGCACCGGGGACAGCCTTCATGGGACACCAGAGTCCGGGATGGGGACATGAGGTCAGGGTGGGAATACGAGTCCAGTGCAAGGAGACGGGGTGGGGTCACCCCCTCCCCAGAGCCCAGTGCCCCCCAGTGCAGGGGACCCTCCAGACTCAGAGTGTGGCACCGTGGTGGCCGAGGACACAGCCCTGGGGACACAGCCCTGAGGACACGGTGGCCAAGGACACAGCCCCGCTCAATTGACAGTGCTGCTGTGGCTCTCTCCCTCAGTGCTCCCAGTGCCACTTTCAGGGGTCCTCGCGCTCCTCAGCCCATGCAGGCTGACAGCACCTGGAAGAGAAAGGGACAGGTCAGGAGAGATGGCAGTGTGGGGTGACCCCCATGTGCTGGCCTGGCCCCTCTGCTAGCACCAGGGGCCTGACCCAGCAGGGCCCCAAGCAGCACAAGGGGTCTGTCCTGTTTCACCACCCCACAGCGAGGCACTGGCACCCTGAGAGGCAGAACAGGCGCTGAACAGCGGTGTCGGCTCCCCAGCCTGGCAAAGGGCACCCCGCCGTCCCCCACATTTGCTGCCACACCCTGACACCCCTTGGAGCCCAACGTGGCCACAGCTGGGCCAGGGGGGTGCTGCCCCCCAGAAGGGCCCAGCAAGCAAACACGGCCCCTCTCTGGGGGTGGCAGGGAAGTGTGACAATGGCCCTGCCCTGTGTCCTACCATGAGGGCTCCCCTGCAAGCATGGCCACAAGCCAGCCCAGTAACGACAGCACTCCCACCACTGCCCCACTGGGGCCATCTGCAAAGACACTGTGGCTTTAGCCCAGGCTGGCACTGACCATAGGGCTCCCAGTGCCCCCAGCCCCACGCTGGGCTGCCCCCAAGCCCCCAGCCCCACTCACGGCAGCGGATCCGGATGGGCCACACCATGATGGAGCAGAGGGTGGTGACAGCAGCGACAGCGATGCCGCCGGTGACCAGCACCATCACCCAGCGGTAGAAGCTGACACAGGCAGGGCAGCACAGCTCAGTCCTGTGAGGACAGGCAGGGATGTGGCTGGAGGCCAGGACTGGGGTCCCAGGCTGTGGGCAGTGGTCCCATATCCTCATATCAGAGTCAGGACAGGTTTGCACTGGGGTGTGAGGGAAAGGCCCGGGGCAAGGATATCCCCAGGGTATGGCTTGGGCCCTCCAAGGCTGGGAGAGAAGGTGAAGAAGGGTTTAAGACAAATCAGAGCTGGACAAGAGAAGGCTCCGGGGAGACCTCAAAGCCCCTTCCAGTGCCTAAAGGGGCTCCAGGAGAGCTGGAGAGGGACTTGGGACAAGGGAGGGGGGGACAGGACAAGGGGGAATGGCTTCTCACTACAAGAGGGCAGGGTTAGATGGGATACTGGGAAGGAATTCATTCCTTTGAGGGTGAGGAGGCCCCAACGTAGGGTGCCCAGAGCAGCTGTGGCTGCCCCATCCCTGGAAGTGTTCCAGTCCAGGCTGGACAGGGCTTGGAGCAACCTGGTGTAATGGAAGGTGTCCCTGCCCATGGCAGGGGGTGGAAGGAGATGAGCTTTAAGGTCCCTTCCAACCCAAACTATTCTGGGATTCTACAGACCCAAGCTGGTTCCCTCCCGTGTCTCTTGCTCCAACCCTGGAATGTTTCCTCAGGCAATGGGGCTCCCAGCTCTGCAGAGACACTCACGGGCAGGGGTGCAGGTTCTGGATCATCATCACAGCCAGGCCATTGGCCATCTTGTCCGTGAAGCTCATGGCACCGTACACAAACGCGCTGCTGTGCTGCGGGAGGAGAGGGAAGCGCGCTGTGCTGTGCTGGGCACGCAGCGCCGTGTGCCCTCTCATGGGCAGAGCCCTCACTGCAGCCAAGCAGCAGAGCACGGGCACGGCACACACGGGGCACAGCACTCATAGGGCACAGCACTCGGGGGCACAGCACTCAGGGGCACAGCACACACGGGGCATAGCAATGGGGAACAGCACACAGGGGGCACAGCACACGGGGCACAGCACACACAGGGCACAGCACTCATAGGGCACAGCACACAGGGGCACAGCACACAGGGGCACTGCACTCACGGGGCACAGCACACGGGGCAGAGCACTCAGGGCACAGCACACAGGGGGCACAGCACACA